TATTTTAAATATATGAACATTGTGCTTAAATTATAAAAATACTGTAAGGAGACAACACACATCTAGATGACAAGGTTAAATTTACTTTGAAAGTATGGGTATGGGGGTAGGGTAGATGGATGGTAAGGAGCCCTCATCTAATGCAGTGGTTAAGTGCTCAGCTGCTTACCAAAAATTGGTGGTGGCAACCCATCCAGCAGCTCCATGGTTTCAGAAAGACCTAGTACTGATCGACTCCAACAGAGATTACCCACTTCATCAAGTCGATTCATTGCTGTCAAGTCGATGATGACTTACAGCAACCCTGTAGGACAGAGTGAAACTGCTCCATAGGATATCCAGGGCTGTAACCTTTACAGAAGCAGACTACCATGTCTTCCTCCTGCAGAGTGGCCAATGAGTTCAAACGTCAAGTTAGCAGCCAAGAGCTTTAGTCACTGTGCCACCAGAACACCTTAACTTAGAAAATTTTAGGGCACAGGAAACACTCTGTCACACAGGGATCACTGTGAGTTGAAATTTACTCAAAGACATCTAACAACAAGAGTAACAAGGACAAAGGGTAAAGTATGAAGAAAGGAAATCATGATCTAGTAGCCTTAACCAACATTGGACCATAATCATGTACCATTTTGACTTGGTCCAACATTGCAATAATTTTTAAAGCTAAAAAATGGAAACCCCAACCAAGTCAATATATTTCAATTATTTTGACAGTTTTTAGTGTATGCTATGAAAAGCATCCAAATTGCTAGTAGATAACTAGTGGGGAGGGACCATGACAATGCAAGTATTTCTTGAAGTTAGGATTTCATCCTCTTTCAGGGAAATGACCCCTGAATTAGTTATTTTGAGCATGTGGAAGAATAAAACTACAAGACTCTTCAACTTATGACATTAAAATATGATTATGGCTTTCAAAATCAGAACATTTGATTGTAAGCATAAATTTTATTGAAAATTTTGATTGTTCTAAGTAAAGTTATTGTTTCCCTTTTATTGCATGTAATGATTTTGGATGCTGTTCTGAAATTAAGTTTTTCTTTTTTTTTCATCTCCATGCAAATTTAAGGAAAAAATACAGTAAAATATACAAGCATAAGACTAGACTTGTTTTATCGGTAAACATCTTCCCAACAGTGCCTTGCACATGTTTAGTGAAGCAAACCAGAACAATATCCCGCCACAAGAAAAGCATCCAGTTTATCTCATTTAAAGTGGAAGAACAAAAACAACAAAAAAAAGAAAATGGAATACATATCAAATACTTGTGGAATTTTAGTGAACACAATTTTCATTTTTTTAAACTTTATAGTTACTGTTTATAATAGTCACCTGTTTTAAAATATTAAGCTCACAGTTCTTAAGTGTTTTGATGTCTTTTTAAATAAATCATTTAATTATTCAAAACATACCCATTTCACTTCTCTTTTTTTTATCCCTAAAAAATCATATTATTTATTATCACCTAAGATTATTTTCTTTCTTTAAAATATAAAGCCAAATCAACCTTTGTATCTTACTTGGAGCTTACGAGATGTTTGTTGAAACTTACCTAATATGAAAATTCCACCAGCCACTCCTCGGAAGGAAGGTTGGGCAATCCTACTTCCGTAGTGATACTGCCTCGGAAACCCAAGGAGGGGTCGCTATGAGTCAGGGCTGACTCGACGGCACATAACAACAACGAAATATGAAAATAATTTATTTTCTGTAAAAGCATAATTGTTTATTCCCATTTTTCTCTTTAGCTCTACCCTTACCTGCAGATGAAAAATAAATTTGTATTAATGTGTCAAGTTTTCTCCTAAATGTTAATATCCATTTCATGGCATTGCTACTTGAGTATGTTAAGCACATCTTAATACTTACACTTCTCTTCACATACTTTCTAGGAATGCCCTTCATCAGTAAAATGAACCTTCTTTGTCTGTCTTTGGCTAAGTCCTCTTTTAAAATTTAATGAGGTACATTTCCAGTATAACAAATCGTACCTCAAACTATATCTCTCCCTCTACTTTATGCTCCCGTTAGCCATATAAAAATTTCATATTGAGATTAGAATCAGAATCAGTGCTTAAGTTTTTGAAATCAAGTCTCAAAGAGGAATCCAAGACAATAAAACTGATTTTTATGCCTGGCTTCAGTATCAGTTTTATGTATAGATACGAGTCCAATTGCTCCCATATGTTTTTCCCCACCCCACTAATCACAAGAGATAGGTAGGTAGGTAAGTAGGTATATAGACAGACAGACAGATAGATAGATTTGTATTTATGTATGCATGTACACAATTAGTGTTAATACACACCTATTTTATAAGTATGGTTATAGATTTGTTGTTGTTGTTGTTATGTGCCGTTGAGTCGGACCCGACTCATAGTGAAACCCCTCCTTGGGATTCTGTTATACATTTAGACATGTTTAAATAGGAACATAGCCACAATTAGAATTTGGAAGTTCCAAGAAACTGTCTTGTCTTAATTTAGCTGAAGACTCTGGACTATGCCTATTTGTCATAAATGTCAGAAGACAAATGTGAATGTTGGATCATAGAGAGTGAACTTTACAACCATCTAGATCATACTCTGGATTATCTTTTTACAGATGAAAGAAATTAGTGCTGCCTGAGGGGCAATACGGTTAAGAGTTTGGATTCTGAGCCACTTCACTTGGTCTTAAGTTGTTCTTGCTAGCTTTGTGACCATGGGCAAATTTGAGTACTTTGTGCTTTGGTTTCTCCATCTGAAAAATGAAGATAATCACAGTATCCATCTTATGTGATGTCTGGAAAAAACAAATTTGAATACTTGTAAAGCACATGGCACACTGCCTTCCATGTATTAAGGACATTTTAAGTGTGTGCTGATGTTACTCCCTGCTTTCAAATTTGCTACTTCTTGTTGTTTTTTAGAATTGTTCATGAGGAAGAAATGGAAAACATACTTTAGTAGCTGATTCCAATATTTTGCAGTTTCTCTTTTTAGTAATGCATTCCTAATTACTTTGTCTACAATAAAACTTTCATTTTTATCACTATATGAGCTGCCTGTCCATTTTCATATTTTTTAGCAGCTTGCTATGGAGGTAAGATCACGGATATAGAGCTAAAGGCCTGGGTTCAGATACTAGCTCTGCTGTTTCCCACGATGGGATTTGTACAACCTCCTCAGTCTATTCAAACTTCACTTTCCTAGTATTTAAAATGAATATAGTGATTCCTTTTGATCTAGCTTGTTTTAAGGATTAGCCACGTGTGCATAGTCTAGCCCATAGTAAGCTTTCAGGTAATTTTGAAATAGTACATAATTTTATAGTGGTAAATATAATTATTGATCAGGTATACTCAAAGTATAGACTATTATGCTAATTACTACTGAAAACTTGTAACCTCAAATTCATTATTTATATCATTACACAAACAATTAGACCATGTTCCTCAGATTGAGGAGCTCTGGTGGACCAGTGGTTAAAGCACTTGGCTGCTAATTAAAAAGTCAACAGTTCAAACCCACCAGCTGCCCCATGGGAGGAAGATGTGGCCATCTGGCTCAGTAAAGATTTACAACCTTGGAAACCCTATGGGACAGTTCTACTCTGCCCTGTAGGCTCTCTGTGAGTCAGAATCAACTCACACACAGTGGATTTGGTTTAGGTGGTTATTCCTCACATTATTGTGGCTATTGAAAAATAATCGACTTTAAATTTTCCTTTTGCTAGGATAAGTAAGCCTAATTTCCCTTCTTTCCAACATTTAAAGTTTTCCTCTCAGTCTTCCAGCTAATAATATGTAGGGAAATGTATTCATTAAACTACTAAATTATGGATACTAAACTAACCCAAAGCACACTGAGGGTCTGGTCAGGTCTGTTCACGTTGAAAGAGAACATAATCATTACTGCATGTTTCTCCATCAATTAATTGCTTTTCTAATAGAGTAGCATTGCTGACTTGCTTGCTTGGTGGGTACACTCTGACCCCACTCTTCTTTTTGCCGTATTTGTTCAAGGTTGGCTAGTTTTCAGCTTTCATTCTTAGAGTTTTCTGTTTGCTTCTAAGATATTTGTTTCATTCCATTTATGACAAGGAAACACAAGAGGTGTTGAAAAGTAAAAAATTTACTTCCTTACTGCTATGATATGAAACTTTGCTGTAGCAAAGTGTGCCCTCAAAGGGAAAATATGGTGTGACAAAATGGGTAGAGGCTTTACCACTACCCCCAGCTTGTTGCATCCATGACAATGGTGTGTGCCAGCCTACCTCATTTCCAAGTGAAGATTTTACCAAAATACATGACCTCAAAGTAGAAACAATGTTAAAAAGTTTTCAAAGGATGTACTCATCTTGGTAGAAATAATCTCTAATTCAGTGCTTATCTCTATAATACATCAAAAATTGTTATACTATAGTAAAAGTCACCCAACATCTATGGTTCTTTATTCTCATCTAGACCAGAAAATTTATTCAGTACCTTGTTTTCCACCCATCACATGAATAGGCCCTTGGTTTTTATATTTCAATATTCCTCCATCCTACTTTCATACAGTGATGTTTTTTTTTTTTTTTTTTTTTTTTTTTTTGAAATGTCCTCTTGGGAGGAATAAAATGTAAGCTAATAAATGTCTTTGTTATGATTCAATGTGGTGAAGACTGACTGATGATTCCTTTTTTCCTGTTTTTTGATGATAATATCATAGTGTGTTTAGATGAGTTAAAAATGCAAATATGTGGATTTCTCTTTCATTGGGAAGGTTGACTGCCTTCAAAATACAGATTCTAAAGAACTAGTTCAGCCAGAGGATTTTAGATGAAATCCTCTATAAATGCATGTCCCTTTATTTATAAGCTAAATTAACAAAACTCTCATCAACTTCTCAAGTTTTCTCTTGCATGCCCATGGTAGCTAGAAAAATCACTAGTAGAACAGTCAGGGTCTTTGATATAAATTTAGAAGCAAAACTCACATGTCCTTATTCTTCTACATAGTGTCTCTTCTTGCAGTCAAAACAGAGCCTTTGAACAGCAGTGAAACCACAGCCACAACTGGAGATGGAGCGCTTGACACTTTTACTGGGTCAGGTAAAGCCTTAAGCTCGTGTGTTGTTACATAGACATTGGGATCGTCCGAATCCTCCTGGTGAATAATCAGCATAAACACCAAAGCTGCCAGAACTCTAACTTTTATAAACTTGGCAATAAATTCACCCTTTTAAGAACTATTAGTTATAAAATTATGTAGTTTTAGAAATTATATTTGGAAATTGTTTTGCTGGATTTTCAGTTAACATCAAAACAGTCCCATGGATTTCTTGTTAGAATCAGCAGAGCTGATTCCCTACATATTATTTTGTACAGTATTTAATTAATTTAGCAATTAGGTTATAATAGTCGGCTTTATTCCTTCAACTTTCCCATTTAGATTACATTAAAAACTGCCTTCTGTACACTATTTGAGACGTAAACCTATCCATTTGATTCCTTCTAAATAACCTTGTTTCCTCTCTGGGTTTAAAAAAAAATCCTCCTGTGTAAGCAGCTGAGTGACAAGTATTAAAGGTTAATGGACTGCAGGAGAGCACATGCTGGTTGCATTAGAACACCGCCTCTGAGAGCCCTACTTTCACTCACAGTGCTTCAAAGAGAACAATAGTGTGTCTTTAAACTTCAATCCTTTTAAAATAAAAATACCTGATAACTCCCAGCTGGGCACAAAGGGCACAAATTAAGTTGACTTAATTAAAGATTCTGGTTAAGTTACAATACTTTATTTGGTTTATAATCTGGTTAAAAGATTTTTTTTTTTAACCTAAAGAGGAATTTGTATATCAGAAAGATGAACATTTGAATGAGAAAAGTGTTTATGGTAGTTAAATCTTGAATTCCGTTAATGTGTTTTACATTTATCCACATTCACGTGTACAAGAATTTTATGTGGATATGCATTATGTAAGAAGAATTGAAGAATTTAAGTAAAATGACATTGTTGCATATATTTGATTTTCCTTATAGCTACAGATGATCCAGTTTTATTAATTCATACTGATTGGAAAATAATTATTAATACTACATACAGAAAGAAGTAATGGTACATAAACTTTGTTTATGTATTTATTTATATTCATAGAGGCATATATGTAGTAGTCCACATACTTTCTAGCACTTCACCTGCCTCTGAGGAGATAAATAGGTAGTAACTTTCTCTGGTAGTATCTATTTTCACTTACCATACTCTTGTAAGCTTCCCCCACAAACTTTTTTAAGGAAATAAAGAATTTTTTTAAGTAATGTATGATATACTTAAATAGTATACCAGTTAATTGAAAGCCAAATGACAAAATCATGGCATGTTAACTCCAGAAACAGTTGTAGAGATCTCCTGTCCATTTTTGAAGCAAGAAAGAATATTGAGGCACATAGAAGTCAAAAGTAGGTAGGCCACACGGACAAGGCCTTTGCTAAAAATGAGTCAAGAACAGGGTAGAGATGACCAGGTTTTCTAGCCATACCTGGCTATTGAAATTTATATTCAAATTAATTAAAATTGGATAAAATTCAAAATGTAATTCTAGTCATACTAGCCACATTTAAATATACAATAGCAATATGTCATTTTTTGTTGTTGCTAATTGCCATTGATTCAGTCCCAACTCATGGACATCCTGCATGCAGTGTAGAATGAATCCCTTGGGTTTTCAAGATTGTAACCTTTTGGAAGCATATCACCAGATCAAGGGCAGTGAGTTTTGAGTTTATCTTCCAAGGCACCTCTGAGTGGATTTGAACCATCAATCTTTTATCTATTTGTTGAGAGCTTAATCATTTGCACGACCTAGGGACTCTCTATGTCCTATATGTGGTCATTGGTTACTATATTGGAAAAGGTCAAATATAAAACATTTCCAACATCACAGAAAGTTCTATTGGAGAGCAATGATATAGGGCAGAGAGGTTTCAACAGCAGCACTATTAAGCTAGGCTTGTTCTCTATTGTGGTAGAGTTCTCCTCTGCATTGTGGGAAGTTTAGCAGCAAGCCAGGCATCTATCCCAAGATGCCAGTAGCAACCTCAAGCCCCCAAGGGTGACAACACAAAATGTCTCCAGGCAAATTCTCTCCCCCTCCCCAAAGTTACTGATCTAAGGTGTCAAGATAATACTTAAAGTAAAATCTTAAAATTGTTTGACACCATCCTGTAAGAAACTGATAATATACTTTAACATTTTTGTTTTAATTAATTTTCAGGATGTTTTGAAGACAAACATTTGCTTATTTTTCTGTGCAGAAATGCTGAAGTATAATTGGTTGAGTACTTTGGGTAATCATTGATGATTAGTAAAATGGCAGGTGGCCAGTCTCCCAAATTTCTTTGTGGCATTGCAGAATCATTCTAGAGGGTAGGCTACCCTATGTAGACATTTTTACTTTGATCAAAATAGGTACAACTTGCTTTACCAATTTTGCTGTTTTCAATTATCTGCAGATATATATATGTAAAAACAAAAAGTATAAATTTTAGTAAAGAAATACAAACCTTCCAAGTTTTATCTCTTATATGACCATCTTAGTTTTCCATTTAGATAATGAACATATAGACAATAAATATGAAATTTTAAAGCCTTTGTTGTCGTGAATACATTATTCTAATTCTAGATTAATTCATTACAAGGACAAAGCATATTATATATTCGGAATTGTGTGCAGGTAACAAGGCTATTCTGAAATATACAGTTTTTCTATTTGGTTCGTTTAATAAAAGCTGCCATAGTAATTGTTTATTTTTATTATTCAGTGTCTCTTTGGAAAAGCATGTGTTTTGTAATCTTGAAAATAATTGATAGTACAGCCCAAGTTTTGAGTGTGCCAAAGTGAAATTCCACAAATAGATGCAAAAGACACAGAATTAAGCTTCCTTTAACTATATTTCTCTTAGAGTATTCATTATTATGAATTTATGGATCAGATTGAATTTCCTGTGAAACAGTGCTATTGTTATTATATAATGTAGTTCTTGGACATAGTGTGGTAGAAAGAATTTATTCTCATTGAGATGATTTGAAAGCTGTAAATATTCTTCAGTTTTTTTTTAATAATAAGGAAAATATTAATAGTTTAATGGTCAGTTTACTATTAACTATATATAGCCAGTTTACTGAAGTTTTGGTTGCTGAAATATTTAAAACATATACCTATGTTCTAAAAATTTGGGTCAATTTCAGAATTGACTAATAATATTCTTGAAAAGAGCTACTTCTGCATTGTTTCTGTGAAAACTAAATTATCCTGTCCATACTCAGAACTTACTGGTAAAATAGCCTTTTAAACATATTACCTTCTGCATGTTTATGAAGCAGATCACAAGGATACTTAATAGCATTTGGATATAGAAATATATCATATTTCATAAAATAGTTAGCAACCTAAACCTATTTGTCACTTTTACAATTCTAAAAGTTTAGCTCCAGAATTATTATGAACAACTTAGAAAGGACATAGTACTTTGAAGTACAACTATGATTGATTAGACTAAACTAATTCCAGGGCTGCAGTGTGTACTACTTTAATCTTTTTGAAAAGTGAATGAACAGCAGATGGCCTAATAAAGACACTCTGTGTGCTTACCCAGTGTGGATTGGCTCTGAAGGGACTGGCCCAACACTTTAGAGTTCATATATTTCCCATCCATCTGTCTTAGTCAAGACAGATGGTTAAAGGAAAGAGAAATGTCCAAACTTTTGGCAATATTCCAGTTTTGGGGCTGCATGTTTGGGTGAAATGTTCATAGAACCTGACTTTTACTGTTTAATTCTCCTTAGAAAAGTTCTGTATCTGATAGTTTAAAAATGTATTTGTCAATATGATTGCTATTTCATTGGGAAATTTTTGTGATCATTCTACAAACAGAAAGTGTTGCTCTTTTTTGCCCATGCCTTTTATGTGCATTCCAATTATGACTAGATTATTTGGTATGCTGCATTATTAACCATGCATCTGATTGGCAAAAGGAAAGGAAATAAAAAGAATAACATTTACATTTTGAAACTGAAGGTGGAAACTTCAATTTTTTCTTAATTTTTTATTGGATTCCATTTAGAATACCTATGGAGGAAGAGCAGCATATATATGGCCATCATATTTGGAATTTGGAATTTAAAGTTTGCAAAATTTGAAATTACTTTTATATCTAAAAAGCTTCCTTACCCCATATCAAAGCTTTTCATTCATTACATATTAACTCATAAGAGTGTACTGCTGACTTGAGAAAATAGCAGAATGATAGACAGGATGGCTGGTGAGAAGAACATTCATTTCATGCTCTTAGAACAAAATGAAGCCGTTTAATTTGGAGAATACATTTAGGTAGCTGTTTTCTCTTTAGAAAATGAATTTTAGAAGATGAGTTCATTTTATTTTTAGAAAATGAATGTTTAGAAATATAAATTTAACATGATAATTTCTTTAACATGGTTGTGACACTCTAGTGAAATATATTTACGAAGCAACCTTTTGTGTACTGGTTCTTGTGTTTTACAGTAATAACAAGTAGTGGCTACAGCCCCAGATCAGCACATCAGTATTCCCCGCAACTATATCCTTCCAAGTAAGTGGTCGGTAGAATCTTTAAGATTTGTTCTAACAGTTTTCTGGGGTTATCTTTATTAACCTGTATTCACACAATTTAAAACACTGCCATTGAGTCTGTTCCAACTTGTAGCACCCCTCCTTGGGTTTCCCAGGCGGTATTTCTACAGAAATAGATAGCCCAGTCTTCCTTCCAAGGAGTGGTTGGTGGGTTTAACTGGCATACATTTATCTATATTAATATAGATAGATAGACAGATAGATACTAGGATAGATTAGGCATCTAGGTATGCTGTACAAATCTAGAAATAGAGACATCCATTTTTCTCTGGACATTTCCCTTTATTCTGTATATTTATTTATGTTCCTTGAGGAAGACATCAGTCTCAAACCAGAATACACTGGGTTTGGGTGCAAATTCAAATGTGCCAGTTGGTTATAAGAAAATCTAAAGAGATTCAATTTTATCCATACCTCAACATTTTCTAATTTGTTCCATGATTGTGCTATTTTTATTGGGTTTCATGTTATAATATACATATTTCTGGAGAATCCACTTTATTTTTATATCTAATGTGGTCAGCTTATTGAAGACAATGGTAGCTATTTCAGGTTTAACTGTATTGACTGTATATATGAGTTTGTCCGCAGTCTACCAGGTGTTCCAAAATTTTAGCCTTGTGATACATCTACATTGATGAGTATGTAGCATGTTATTTTCTGCAGCAGCTAGAGTATCTGTCCTTAAGTATAGACTGGGAATTAGATATCATCTTATGTAAAATACGGTGTAATGAAGGGAAGGATATTCCATTTCTTTTCAGCAAGCTGCCTACCTCTTCTTTTGTTTATTTTCCTCAAAGATTTCTAATCCTTGATACATTGTCCGCTTAAGAAATAGAAAAGGTAGGAGGAATGAAGACTGGCAATTCATATGGAGCTGGAGACATGGACATAGTCAGTTAACTACATGCTCATGAGTCCACTCCCTTGAGTGGTGGCCCAGATTCTTAAGTGAGGTGATCTGTCATCATTCAGAATTATTTGATAATATATAACATTTGATTAACCTCCATACTTGTTCATGTGCTTGCCATGTGCCCCTGAAATGCTTGATGAGGAGCATTGCCATTGATTTTAACTTCTTACCTGAAATTGCTTCAGCAAGTTAATTATCTTTATATAAATAACCTATACTAAGAATTTGAAATTTTTTATCAAATGCTGGTGTATGTTTAATTTCAGCTGCTTCCAGTAATTTGATGTGAATGATAAAATGCTACTATCAATTTTCTCCACAACTTTTAGAATACTTAGGAAGGCTCTCTATAAGCTGGGGGATATTGCATGGTTGAAAATCGAGAAAGACATGCATCACTTTCACTATGCTGAGAAAATAATCTAAGAAGCTGGACTATATGAAGAAGAATGCAGCATCATAATTAGAGGAAGACTCATTACCAAAGTATGATATATACATTATACAACCTTGCTTCCTGAAAATTAAGGAGACTCTAAGCACTTAGGAGCTCTGGTAGTGTAGGGCCTAAGGCACTTGACTGCTAACCAGAGGCTGGCAGTTCAAACCCACCAGCCACTCCTCGGAAGGAAGATGGGGCAATCTATTTCCATGATACTGCCTCGGAAACCCAAGGAGGGGTCACTATGAGTCGGGTCCCACTCGATAGCAAATAACAACCACAACAACAACTAAGCACTTACTGATGATGATTAAAGACTACAGCCTTCAGTATAGGCTATTCCTCAGAAAACAAAAATCCTCACAACTGGCCCAATAAGCAACATCATGATAAATGGAGAAAAGACTGAAATTGTCAAGGATTTCATTTTACTTGGATCCACAATCAAGACCCATGGAAGTAACACAAACAAAAAATCAAACGATGTATTACATTGGGCAAATCTGCTGCAGGAAACTTCTTTAGAGTGTTAAAGAGTAGAGATACCACGTTAAGAACTAAGGTGCACCTGACCCAAGCCGTGGTATTTTCACTCACCTCATATTCATGAGAAAGCTAGACAATGAAATGGAAGACTGCAGAAGAACTGATGCTTTTGGATTTTGGTGTTGGCAAAGAATATTGAAAGTACCATGGACTGCTTAAACGAACAGATCTGTCTTGGAGAAAGTACAGCCAGAATGCTCCTGAGCAGCAAAGCTGGCCAGACTTGTCTCACTTTGGACACATTATCAGGAGGGACGAGTCTCTGGAGTAGAACATCCAAACTCCAAAATCAAATTCACTACCATCAAGTTAATTCTGACCCATAGTGACCCCCAGTGGGTTTACAAGGTGGTCAGTCTTCATGGAAGTAGATCTTCTGCTGCACAGCTGGTGGGTTTGAACCACCAGCCTTCTGGTTAGCAGTCAAATGCCTCAGATACTGTGCCACCAGAGCTCCTTGGAGAAGACCATCATACTTGGAAAAGTGGAGTGTCAGTGAAAAAGAAGAAGACCCTCAACAAGATGAGTATGTTATACAGTGGCTGTAACAGTGGGCTCAAGCATCAAAACAATTGTGAGAATAGTGCAGGACCAGACACTATTTTGTTCTGTGTACATGAGGTCATTATGGATCGAAACTTACTTGATGACACCTGACAACAACAACATATACTCCAGGGTGTTTAAGTAGATTCTGCAATCATTGTGTAGTATTAGGTCACTCATGGTGAGTGTAAATGTGCTCATAAGCATGTTAATTAACTGGTCTATGCTCCATTTTTCTCATTTATGTATTGATTAGAGTACTATTTTAGGTAAACAAGAATTAACGACCTAGGAGAGACTTCACATGTAACATATATCAAATCTTAGGTAGACGTAGGGAGGTTAAGTTATTCATCCAAGGTCATTAGACTGGTTTGTAGTAGAGCCTATGTTCTTGACATTCAAACTCATTTCATTCTTCCCTATATTGTTGAAATTAAATGTGGATAAATAGGAGGATTGCTTCCTGGATATTATAAGGTCTCACTGAGTCTAAGCTGTCTGAATTAATATGCAGTCTTTGTTGCCACAGTAATGCTATTTTTCTGATATTTAGGCCCTATCCACACATTCTTTCTACACCAGCAGCTCAAACTATGTCCGCCTATGCAGGCCAGACTCAGTATTCGGGGATGCAGCAGCCAGCCGTCTACACGGCCTACTCGCAGACAGGACAGCCCTACAGCCTGCCAACTTATGGTATTTCATGTCTTCCATCTTCTCCTTTTTTGGTTACAAGCAGGTAATCCTGCTGGTTAGAAGTTGTATAGCCTGATAAAAGTTGCAGATTAGAAGTAAGATCATTTGACTAATAAAATGGTTTGCACGTACATTTTCCAAACAGATTTGGGAGTGATGTTGCCAGGTATCAAGACAGAGAGTGGACTTTCACAAACCCAGTCTCCATTACAGAGTGGGTGCCTCAGTTACAACCCAGGGTTTTCCACCCCACAGCCAGGCCAGACACCTTATTCTTACCAAATGCCAGGTAAGTAGCCACATGTGAAACATGTTATATGAGAGTTCTTTAAATGAGATTCCTTGGTTTCAGACTAGGAATATTCACATGCAGACAGTTTTAAACTTTACCACTGCTTACACAATTTCATGAGAAAAGACAAATAAGTAGGCAGAAACATAATGAAAATAGTTGAACATGCATCAAGAAACATGATCCATATCAAATGTAAATGCTTAAATTTAAACTCTACAACATTAGCAGGAAATGAAGCCCAAGCGAAGCAACCGCTGAGCCAATGTTTGCAAAGCAGTAACGTCAGTCAGCACGTTTGGTTTCTACTGAAAATGATTAAAAGATTCATGACACAAACCAGGATTTTCCTTGTGGTATTCCTTAAGTGTTTAACTCTGTTTTGGTTGTATTTAAAATTGAATTAGCACTTCTGTAAATCTCATTTATCTTTGAATGATTGAGGATCCTTTGTCTGATCCTAATAATATCCTGTTGATACTGTATTTTCTGATAAAAATATTTGTGTGATTTTTAACCCCTCCCCAGAGAAATCAGTATATGACCATTCATTTTTCTTCTTTTTTTTGATCCCTGTAAAAAATTTTGTTTGTTTTTTAGGTAGTAGTTTGCAGAAATGTTACTGGCATAGTAAAAACTTGAAAAACTGGCTCCTTTTATCTATATTGCAGTCCTAAATTCTGAGCTGTATAGCAACATATTTGAACCTGTTAGTTGACATTTCAGTCAATTGACTAAAATGAAAAAATCGTGTAGACCTTTTTGGCTGACATCACAGATCTCTGTTTATTTAGAATGGTTGACACATGCTCACATACATGCTGCAATCACAGTGAACCACACAGCTTCAGTTAGCAGTGTGAAAAGGAGCAGAGAGACATTTTCATTTATTCCCCAAATACTTTCACATTGCAGCCCAGTCCAATCTGTGTTGATTACATAGTATTATTGCTATTCAAAACATATTGATAAAAGAAGTAATCAGCTGCCTCCATTAGTCTTTCATTTTCCCCTTGTCAAGTATGTTACATAAGGACATTTTTCTTTTCAACCTGTGATTGTTCACTAGTTTTCGCCCTACTTAAAAAATAAATAATAAATTCAAGATCTTTTAGTAAAGTTTATGATGTCTCCAAACCTCAATCACTGCAAAATAGTTTTCCTTGAGTCTGAATCCTACATCACAGCTTTTTATTCTAACAAAAGGACTTTAAGAAACAGAGAAGAGATGCAAACATCAGTTCTAAATGGGTTCTGTGTGTTTATTTCCTAAGACAATCACATCAAAAGGTTGAACTCTACTGATTTTGCACACAAATGTCATGGATGTAATGATTTGAAGGTTCCAGTAGTTTCCTGGAAGTAGTCTCAGCCTGTACAGTATTTTATTTTTTGAATACCCTTTAACTTCTAGACACTTAACCCTTGAATGTTAGCTGTAGTTCTTATTAAGGCTGTTCCAGTGTGACCCTGTGTAACCAAACTCCCAAAGCAAAGACTTTACCTGCTACTACAAGAGGGATAGAGCTAGAACATTTTCTTTATAAATCACTAATTTAACTGCCTTAACGGTTTCAACAAAATTCAAAATTGATTTCTCTCATTTGAATTCTGCCAAGTGAAATTTATTATAGTACAAGAAACACTTTTTAAATGCAATTTGTTCTTTGTTTCTAGGTTCTAGTTTTGCACCATCTTCTACTATTTATGCAAATAATTCAGTTTCCAATTCAACAAATTTCAGTGGTTCACAGCAGGTATGGTAGCTTTTTGTTTTTCTGATTTTTTATATCTATTTCAGATTTTTGAAAAGTATTTTCAAGTTGAGATATAAATACATATTCTCACAGAATAAGATTTCTGTATTTTACATTCCTATGATGTTTCAGGATAATAATAATGTTGTTGTTGTTGTTATGTGCCGTCGAGTCGCCCCGACTCATAGCGACCCCTCCTTGGGTTTCCGAGGCAGTATCACTACGGAAGTATGATTGCCCAACCTTCCTTCCGAGGAGTGGCTGGTGGGTTTGAACTGCCAGCCTTCTGGTTAGCAGTCAAGTGCTTTTAGCCACTATGCTACCAGAGCTCCCAATAATAATAATAATAGCTACCCAGAATTCTTGATATATGTATTATTCTGGATATTTTAAGTTACTGATTGCTAAAGGTTTGCCCTTTAATCTTTTAAACTGTGATTATTTTAATCATTTACTTTGTAATTATAAAATATATTGCATATTTTATTGTTATTTTAAAATACACTAAACATAATTATATTTTTCTTAATAACAGTGATCATTATAAACATTAACTGAAATTAATAGTTGGATAAAAAAATACTTCCCAAATCATTGGTTGGGCATTTTTGTTTTGTTTTTTTTTTTGTTCTGTGATTCCTTTTAATAAATGTTTGAGTCCTACTTTCCTGACAGTAGTGATTTTTTGCTTTTATCACTTTGCCTGTCTCTAGAAGTCCTTAGTCTTCCTCCTAATTATGGTCTTTCATTTTTCCAATACTTTCATGAGTTTTAAAATCCAACTTATTAGAATGATGTGTGTAGGTCAAAGTGAATGTCCCTGAATTAGTGAATGGTCCCTGAGTGAGATGAATTTGTGAAATATATTGACACATCAGATGTGTTTGTCCTTATTTTGTAACTCTCAACTTGTTCAAGGAAGTTGAGATTGAAGAGTAGCCAATATACGATTTTACTTTGACATAATTGCTGAACTTTCACATATTCTGAAATGTAAACTATTATCCAGGTACCTGCTCTTTTGACTTACTGAAGGAATCACAGTAATTACCTTCTCCTTTTAGTTTCTATTAATAGAACAAAATACCAAAATAAAATTATTTTTATTAAAATAGTGTGTAATAACAATATTTTTGTATAAGATTAAAGTGTATAATTTGGGATTCCAAAACCAATCTCACTGCTGTCATGTTGGTTCCAACTCATATTGACCCCTCCTTGTGTTTCTGGGACAGTATCTCTAGGGAAGTAGATTGTCTAGTCTTGCTTCTGAGGAGTGGCTGGTGGGTTTGTACTGCCAGCCTTCTGGTTAGCAGCCAAATGCATTAGGCCATATACTATAATTCTTTAAATACTAAATGTTAGACTCAGTATATGTACTTTATCAGAAAAATATTGAGAATTTTTTACAATCCACATGCTTCATTTTATTTATTGATACAGCATACATTTATGGAGCACTTGCAATACATTAAATTTTTGACTAGACATTGAAGTTTCAAAACAGTAACTCAAAATAATAATTAAAATAATAGGCCATTGTTCCCTACTATCTAGAAGGATAAATCTCCTGAAGAAACAAACATGAAAATAATACCAACTGGCCTTGGTTTATAATGAGTGCAATAATAGAAATATGTGCTAGGCAAAGAGTTATTGTTGTTATGTGCCATCGAGTTAGACCAAACTCATAGCGACCCCTACTTGCGTTTCCGAGGTGGTATCACTATGGAAGTAGATTGTCCCACCTTCCTTCCAAGGAATGGGTCCAGCCTTCTGGTTAGCAGTCAAGTTCCTTAGGCACTACACTACCAGAGCTCCTAGTAAAAAATGAAAGACTGCTCAGTTCTGCTTGGGTGAGTTAAAAAAAAAAAAAAAAATTGTAAAGAACAAGAAAACATATTGACAAAGATAGATTTATATCATAATAATCCAATACCATCTGAATATTTAAATACAATAGTCTTACTGTAAAATGTAAGCTATATTTTGGAGCGTGGTCTGAATAATGTTTTATTCTTTCAACAAATACTTAATGAGTACCTATTGAGAGCTCTGGTGGCATAGTGCCTAAGACATTTGACTGCTAGCCAGAAGGCCAGTGGTTCAAACCCAGCAGCCACTCCTCGGAAGGAAGACTGGCCAACCCACTTCCGTAGAGATACTGCCTCGCAAACCCAAGGAAGGGTCACTGTGAATTGAATCGACTCAATGGCAGTGAGTTTTAGTTTATTATGTGTGAGGAGTCACTTGGTGGTACAAATGGTTGACATGTCTGGCTTCTTACCAAAAGTTGGAAGTTCAAGTGCACACAGAGGTTACTCCAAAGAATGGTCTGGCAATCTACTTCCAAAAAAATAAACCATTGAAAACCCTATGCACAGTTCTACTCTGGCACACATTGGGTCACCATGAGTCAGAAGTGACTCAATTGCAGCTGGTTTGTTATATCTTAGAAATTGATTTATATTCTTGGGACACAATGGTAGAAGCAAGGGTGGATCAGACATTGGTCTTTCCTCGTGGATCTTACAGCCTATTGAGAGAAATAGACTTCAAATCAATAAAAAACAGAAATAAATATAGAATTAGAAAACAGGAAGGAAGAGAACAGGATGCTTTTAAAAATATGCTTAGAAATCTAATTTGGTGTAAGGTAGGTTTTCTGGAAGGCTTCTTTGTGGAAACCACATTTAGGCTAAGATTTCCAAAAGGTAGAAGAATGGGGGCAATGGTTTTTCAGGTATAGAAAAGCAGCATGCACCAAGCCCCTGAGAACTGAAACACTTGGTGTATCTTCTGGTGGTTTCTGTCAGTCCTTTATCTGTAGTTCTTTTGTTAGCCTGTATGATTGGAGCTCTGGTTGTATAGCAGTTAAAGTATTTGGCTGCTAATCAAAAGGTCAGCAATTCAAACCCACCAGGTGCTCCATGGAGAAAGATGAGGCAGTCTGCTTCCATAAAGATTTATAGCCTTGGAAACCTTATGGGGTAGTTCTACTCTGTCCTATAGGATCACTATGAGTCACTTGACTCAATGGCAGTGGGTTTGGTTTGGTTTTAGTTTAGTTGCTTCCAACTCACAATGATCCCATGGACAACAGAAAGAAGCACTGTCTTGTCCTGCCATCCTCACAGCCGTTGCTCTGTTTGAGCCCATTGTTGCAGCCACTGTGTCAATCCATCTCATTGAGCTTCTTCCTCTTTTTTGCTCACCCTCTACTTTACGGAGCATGATGTCCTTCTTTAGCAACTGGTTCCTCCTGACAATGTGTCCAAAGTATGTGAGATGAAGTCTTGGTGTCCTTGCTTCTGAGGAGCATTCTGGCAGTACTTCTTCCAAGACAGATTTGTTTGTTCTTCTGGCAGTGCATGGTATATGCAGTATTCTTCACCAACAGCATAATTCAAATGCATTAGTTTTTTGGTCTCCCTTACTCATTTTCCATCTTTCTTATGTATTGAGACAATTGAAAATACCATTGATTGGGCCAGGCTACCTTAGTCCTCAACGTAACATCCTTGCTTCTTAATACTTTCAAAAGGTTATTTGCAGTAGATTTTCCCAAGGTACTATGTCATTTGATTTCCTGACCATTGCTTCCATGGGCATTGATTGTGGATCCAAGTGAAATGAAATCCTTGACAATTTCAATCTTTTCTCCATTTATCATGATGTTGCTTATTGGTCCAGTTGTGAGGATTTTATTTTTTTAATACTGAGGTGTAATCTACACTGATGCCTATATCTTGTTTGTAGCTGTGTCACTCCAGTTTCTAGCTCTGTCTTCATATGGCTTTCTTTCCTCTGTGTGTGTCTGTCTTCTCTGAATCTTCTTTTCCTAATAAGGCACCAGTCATGGATTTAGGGTATCCCCTAATCCAGTCTGATATTATCTTAACTTGATGACATCTGCAAATCCAACCCCAAATGAGATCACAATCACAGGTTCCAGGTGGACATGAATTTTGGGGACACTATTCAACCTATAAGAAGCCCTAATGGTGCAATGGTAAGCACTCAGCCACTAACCAAGAGGTTGGCAGTTTGAAGTCACCCAGTGACTGTGAAAGAAAGACCTGACAATCTGCTTCCATAAAGATTATAGCCAAGAAAAACCCACCAGGCAGTTCTACTCTGTCACTTGGGGTTACTACTCTGTCACATGAGATCACATCCAATAACAACAGCATTCAACCCATATAGGACTTGCAGTTTAGAATAGGAATTTGGGTTCTATTCCAAGCCCAATATGAAACTATTAAAAGATTTTGAGCAGGAGAATAGTATCACAAAATACAGATTTTGAAAATACTATTGGCTTCAGAGACTTTGGAGAAAGTAAAAATGAAAGCCAGGTTACAAATTAGAAACCTGGTGAATTAGCTGCAGTAGGAAATAAAGACAGCTTGGCCAGGGTAACAGCAATGGAAGTAAAGAGAAGGGGAGATACTTGTTTTTTAAAAAACACAAAAAGACATAATTTACAGAAGCTAGTGGTCTGGACTTGCAGAAAGTGAAGAGGACTCGATGAACATCAAAGACTACAGCCTTCAGTGTGGATTATACCTCCACATAAAGAAAACGAAAATCCTCCACAGCTGGACTAATAAGCAACAACAGGCTAAACAGAGAAACAATTGAAATTTTCATGGATTTCATTTTATTTGGATCCATAATCAACACTCATGGAAGCAGCAGTCAAGAAATCAAATGACATACTAAATTGAGCAAATCTGCTGCAAAAGACCTCTTTAAGGTGTTAAAAAGCAAAGATGTCACCTTCGGGACTAAGCTGTGCCTGACCAAGCCATGGTGTTTTCAGTCAGCTCACATACATGTGAAAGCTGAACAATGAATAAGGAAGACCAAAGAAGAATGAATGCCTTTGAATTATGGTGTTGGCCAAGAATACTGAATATACCATGGACTGCCAGAAGAGCAACGAAGTCTGTCTTGGAAGAAGTATAGCTAGAATACTCCTTAGAAGCAAGGATGGATAGACTTCATTTCATATACTTTGGATGTATTATCAGGAGGGACCAGATCTGGAAAAGGACATCATGCTAGGTAAAGGAGAGGGTGAGTGAAAAACAAGAAAACCCTCAATGACATGGGTTGAAACATTGGCTGCTCCAGTGGGCTCAAACATAACAGTGATTGTGAGGATGGTGCAGGATTGAGCAGTGTGTCATTCTGTTGCTCATAGGGTTGCTATGAGTCAAAACTGGCTTGACAGCACCTAACAACAACAGCAGTAGTCTGGACCTTTCTAATAAGTAATGTCAGGTTCCTTTAACGACGTTGGCAACCTTATGTAGAGCTTCGATAATAACAATACATAGAAAGTTTTAAACATTGAGTAATTACATTTAATCCCTTCCAATAGTGCTTGATACAAAGTAAAAACCAACTGTGTTGAATTGATTGTGACTTACAGCAACCCTATAGGACATAGTAGAACTATCCTGGAAACAGACTGCCTCATATTTCTCTCGCAGAACAGCTGGTATGTTCAAATCACCAACCTTTCAGTTAGTAGCTGAATGCTTAAGCACTGTGCCACCAGAGCTCTGGTACAAAGTAAGCACCATGCAAATACTATTACATTCTAACAAAGATGTGTTAGAAACTGTTGATGAAATCTTTTTCTTAGTTTATGGGTGGTAATGGGGAAACATCAGCTCCTAAAATTAATTAACAGAATAGAGTTTAGTTTTCTGCCATATTACTTAATTTATTTTTATAATACACATTTAAAAATCTGCTTATAACAAATTTACTTATAGAGAAAATTTCTTTTTTGGAAACCACATCAAAAAGGGAATCTTTGTCCCTTTAGGAACAATGTTATCTTAAAAATAAAACCACTGCCATCAAGTCAATTCTGACTCAAGGTGGCTCCCCTTGGGTTTCCAAGTTGGTAACTCTTTCCAGAAGTAGATTGCCTCATCTTCCTTCTTCACAGCAGCTGGTGGGTTTGAACTAACTAACCTTCTGTTTAGCAGTCCAATGCCTTAGGTACTATGCCACCAGAGCTTGAGACTATGGGTTTGTCATCACTGATAACAAATTGGCCAAAACATGCCAGATACAAGAAAATCAATTGTCACAACAAATCTTTACTCGTCATGTTAACATAAAAAAGGATTTTGAAGAATCATTTAGATCATTTTAAAAAATTTTAAAAAGGAAATCAGAGGAGTAAGTCCACTGCTTTGTTTTCTCTATGAAACCAAATGAAACAATATAAATATTATATTTAAAACTTCACCAAAGACTTTAGAATTAGGCCTGAGTTGACATGTAGCTAGTTTCGAGGCTGGCCAAAAAAAAAAAGTGTTATCTTCTTGTATTTACTCTTTGCCTCCTTCTAAGAGAACAAAATTATCAAAGGTACCCTTGAGTGGAAACAAAAATCACAAAAGTACAGACTGCTGTAATTGTGGAAGCTGGGAAGGGCAACCGCATCTCCTTCTTGTTGGTGATGTTATCAGATGTATAAGAACTTATTTTGTGAGTGTGAGTTCATTCCATCCCCTCCTCTCCCTTGCAAGAGCATAGAACCTGATGATACAAAGCCTTGGATAAGTAATAATAGGGGGCAAAGTGACGTATATGCCACCTTTAGGTGGATTAAAATTCAGCTAATTTGCAAAACTCTCAGGTTGTGCAATAGTATGCACATTTAAAAGATACCTACAAAAAACAGTCTCTGCCTTTTAGGATCACCTGATAGTTAGAGACTTAGAAACAAATAGAGCCAAATAGTAATGTTTCAATTACAATGCTTATTGGTTTTCTTTGATGCACACTAGAGGGTACTTTCTATTAAAACACACACATCTCAATTATTGTTTCAGGATTATCCATCTTACACAGCCTTTGGCCAAAACCAGTATGCACAGTATTACTCAGCATCAACGTATGGAGCATATATGACATCAAATAACACGGCTGATGCCACATCATCATCAACCTCAACCTATCAGTTGCAGGAATCTCTCCCGGGACTAACTAGCCCACCAGGTACAGACCTTCATCCAGGTGAAATACTTTTGTATGTTTTGGTATATCTAATAACATGGAGAAATGGAGATTTCAAACCATGGAGGAAAGCTCCCAAATAGTTATATTCATGTTTAATCTAGATTAGCTTCACTGCATAAAATGAGACTATTCTGACATTTCAGAAAGTCCTTCTTTTAGATTAGATCAGATCTTATCTTCAAAACAGCAATATATATTACATATAAGTGTGGATATAAAAAAGGGAATGTACTTATTGCCAGACTAATTTTTTTTTTTTTTTTTGGTGAACTACTTGAATCCCATAAAAATTGTAATACCATCTTCTTTGGCTATAAATGATAATATTTCATTCATGGTTGAGGAGACTATAGTTCCTTCATGAGCTGTCAGGTGCTCTAGCCAGTGAACAGGAAGTAAAATGTTTGTGATATCAGTGGTGGGCAGTTAATATCTTTATCTAATCATCACATACTTAAAATCCATTGAATTGGCTATTGTCTGAGGTTGTCTGTATCTTATTGGAATTAAATTACTGGCACATATTTGACACAGCTAAAGTATTTAAAGATAAAACAAGTTTAATAGAGATTCTGTATAATCCCATTCATAATTCCAGTAAGACTTTCTATAGAAATCATCAATTTGATTCTAAAATTGCAAAGAAAGACACAAAAATTAGGATAGTCAAAATGATTTTTAAAAAGAACAAAGTTCAAAAATTCACATTAGCTGATTTCAAGGCTTACTACAAAATCTTGGAATTAACATTCAAGAGAATATGGTGCTGGCCAAAGGAGAGCAGAGAGCAATGGAACAGAATAGAGTGCAGAAATAGACCTCCACATGTATTGAGCAACTGTTTTCAACAGAGTACAAAGGCAATTCAGTGAAAACAGTCATTTCAAAAAATGATGCTGGAATAATTAGACATCCATATGCAAAAAAAAAAAAAAGTGAATCTTAACCCATAACTTGGTTGCTAATACAAAAATTAGCTCAAAATGGATCACAAACTACGTGTAAAACCTAAAAGTAACAAACTTCTAGAAGAAAGCATGGAGAAAAATCTTTGTGATATTTAATTACACAGACTTTTTATGGATATAGACACTGAAAATCACAACACACGAAAGAAACTAAATGGTAAACTAAACTTCATAAAATTAAGATCTTCACTCTTTGAAAGACACTGTCACAAGAATAAAAGAACAAACCACAGATTAGGAGAAAAATATTTGCAAATCATATGTGATAAAGGACATGTATTCAGTTCTTTATAAGAAGTCTGAAAGCACAAAAGTGATTTTAAGAGCTTTTAGAAATATGATTAGTTGATCTGACCATATTTTTGTGCTTTCCACACTCAAATTCATCTCTACTTCTTTTTTGTCCAACTTTGGAAGGGGAAGAAAATAGGGTAGCGTGGTCACAATACTGGAAATCTTTTTAAGTGCACCAATGTTGCCAAAAAAACTCAATGCCATTTAATGATTATTTATTGAGTACCTACTGTGGACCAGACGTGGTGCTAGAAACTGATGGTTCGGTGTTAAATGAGCTTTCTGCATACCTTTAAATTCCATTTAACAAGCAACAAAAAAAGAAAGTAAATAAATGCAGTAATGATGAGTGTTTAGAAAGGGAAAATGTTGAATAATATGAGGAAATATTAACAGTAATACTAATTTGAAAGAAAAGACATGACAGTGAAACTATAATACGTTAAGGGACAGAAAAGATATACTTGCATCATGAATTGATTAATTGGTAGTACCCATGCTTTTTGATTTCCTGTACAGAATATCACTTCTAATCTAACTGCAGACCTAAGGAAAATTTCTCTAGTACATGGAGTTTGTCCTTGGTGTCTCTACATTCAGTTTCTTTCCCTCTTATCTTCTTTTTAAAACTCTTCCTCCTGTTGACTTGCAACCCCTTTTAATTGCTGGCCCTTAACTCGGAAGGAAGGTTGGGCACTCCTACTTCCGTAGTGATACTGCCTCGGAAACCCAAGGAGGGGTCGCTATGAGTTGGGGCCGACTCGACGGCACATAACAACAACAACAACAACAACAACTCCTTAAGGCTTCCTGTTTAGCCTTGCCATCCAGTCTCAGCTTCTCTCAGTACCTGTATTCTATGCAAGGCTGGGGTTAGAGTAGGATTTTGCGTATCAGGTGCAAAATCTAAGGAGGCATTTCTTCTCAGGACCCTTTTATTTTGTGCCCTCCTCACCTCACTCCCCTTACTCTGTTCCAGCCTACATTCTGTGTTCCAGATTTGCCCTGGTCTTCTCTAAGTCACTATTTGCATTTCATCAAAATTCTTAGCTTAATTTGAAGAATGAGTGATTTCAGAATCCTTGCCTAACTAGTAGTAGATACACTAATAAAAAAAATCACTACCATTGAGTCGGATCCAACTCATAGCGACCCCTCCTTGGGTTTCTGAGGTGGTATGGCTACAGAAGTCGATTGCCCCATCTTCCTTCCGAGGAGTGGCTGGTGGGTTTGAACTGCCAGCCTTCTGGTTAGCAACCAAATGCCTTAGGCATATGCCACCAGAGCTCCTAGATATACTATCAGTGAGGAGATAGTTGACATACTCTTAACACACTGAATTTTTTTTTTTTTCTCTCAATGGTGGGTTCATGGGGAAAACAAGATAAGATGACTGCTTTCAAAAACAAAACCACAGAAGTCAAGATATCAGAGACTGAATGGAGGACAGGACAAGCAGGCATTTTTAATTTATTAGAATAGGGCCAACCAATTGCCCTCTAGTCAATTTCAACGCCTGACCTCTCCAGGTGTGTCAGGGTAAGCTGTGCTCCCAGGGTTTTCAGGGCTGATTTTTCTGAAGTAGGTCACCAGGCTTTTCTTCCAAGGCAACTCTGGGAGGACTTGAACTCCAGCCTTTTGTTTAAGCAGCTCAGCACTTAACCATTTCTCCACCCAAGGATCCCAGGATAGAGTTACTATCAATAAAACTATTTGTATAATCAAATATAGTATACAGAGCCTTGAATAAAAGGCTGCTTTTGCTGTGATTTCAATTTGAATATAACAGAACTCTGCAGGAAAAGCATAGATGGTTACTTTCCACTAGCTAAAGAGTAATCAACATTCAGAATAACTATTTTATTTATATTAAAGATCATAAATATAATCATGTAGATCTTCTGAGCATGTGACTTTGAATGTGACACATTGATATGTTCCCTATCAGAATATTGAAGTTTCTCCAGGCTTCCATGGGTTGCTAATGCCAACAAATATGATTTGACATAATTTTCAGATTTTATCATACTTTCTATTAAATTTAAAGAAGAAACTATTTCTACATGTAACTATATTATTCTCTCATCGCAAATAATAGTAACAAACATATCTAGATCTTTAAGGAATTCTGTGACTCTCTTCAGTCAGATACTTTTAAGTATGATTTTGCTTTTTCAGGTCTGGCAAGTATCCAAAAAATAAACAAGTTTGTAACTGTGGAATTTTTCTTTATTATTGATGAAATCAATATATATTTAATTCAAGGGCAAGAAAAATATTGCTCATTGACTAGCTCTGTATTTTAGACTCAAAGCAGAGACCTAAAAATTAAATACACAGTTTTTCATAAAACATTCACTATTGACTTCTCCCATTCTTAAAACAAAAACATACCTACATTCAATAAGAGACAGCTGGTTTTCTGATTTAGAGATAAAGCTAATGAAATAAAGTTGGATAGAAATACCTAAAACTTACAAAGTACAGTTGTTCATTATTGTACTGATTAAAGGATAATTATTCTATCATATATAGTGTTGGCCCAAGAAAAAGCCTAAGGCAATTACTAATGACTGATGTTATTTGGAAATTGCAAGTAATGTTTAGTTATGTACTTTACTTTGCTAGGTAGTTTGACAGTGGATTTAAGCAAACACTACTGTGCTGATTAATAACAGACATTTTATTTTAGTTCATTATATTTATAAAGATCTTTCTTTTCTTTTTATATGAAGTTTATCTTAGGTATTTTTTTTTTATTTGCATTCAGAAAATTTGAGGACTGATTAGTACATGTAGATTTGTGATACAATGTAGTGCCTCCCTTTTAAGGAAAATTAAATATAGTAATTGCCTTGAGACCTCAGTAAACAGTGCGATACATTAACTAATTGAACTATATGAGTGCTCTAGAAAAGAATACAGTGAGATCACTTCACTCTCTGAAGAAAAGCCAATTTCTCAGGCAGAATGCATAGCCTTTTCATAGCTGCATGACATTTCATAAAGACAGGGTGAAAAGCAAAGTACTGACTCATCTAATTTAAACTAACAAGAGGATTTAGATAGAAAGAACACATGGCCCACATTTAATTCCTCTGCCTATAGCATTAATAATTTCCCTACCTATAGCATTAATGTGCCCCAGCGCAATTACCTGAGTTGAAATTTGGCAAGGGACTGGAATTAACAGTTTTCTCCTTTTAAAAAAAAAAGTGTCAACAAATGATTAATGAGTGGTTGAGCTCAAGTTGCTGCATTTACCCTTTATCAGAAGAAAGGCTAGAACCTCCAAAAGGTATGGGAGTCAGGTACAGTTCCACCTGTTTGCTGTAGGAGCCAAGATACATAACACATTCTTTACGAGACAAGTTCCTCCTACAAATCCTTGGCCCTTGCTCTAACAGAAATTTTATAAAGTCTCTGTGACTTGTTTGATTGGTAGATTCAGATAATAGGTGTGGGCTCTTTGTTACCTGGAAAGTCTGTCGGTGTTTGCAGGAGGAAGAATGCCTGGAATTATATTAGCTTTGCCATTTATAAGCAGTTTTAATATTAGTGAGTTTATTAAGGTCCCCATGTCTCGCTTTCCCAATTGATAAGCAGGCATAATGAAGGACCTAATTCATTGGGTTAGAATAAGTTTTGAGTTAGGTATATATGTAGAGAAAGCAACACAAAGATCTCTGACAAATCAAAAAGAAAAAGACAACCGAATTTTTAAAATGAACAGAA